AAAATTATCTGGTGGATTTTTTAAATATTGAATCACTTTTTCTAAATTATTTAATGCCTCTTTATCAGAAATAACCACCGTTTCCACCTCTTCCTCATTATCAGAATCATCAACCTCAGGATTTGGCTCCACTGCTCTAATAATTTCTTCATCAGTTAGTTCTTGTATTGGTGCTTCATCATCAATGTAAATAAAATGGTCTGCAGTGATTGGATCTTCCAGGTTTAGTGCATCAATTGAATTTTGTAGTTCAGAAATTTCAACAGAAGAAATTTGATTTAAATTTATTGCTTCTTCAGCATTAGGTAGGATTTTTGTTTTTCTCCAACAATTTACAATCGTGCTTGATTTTACATTTGTCCATGCTAAATTTCCTGAGGTTGAAGCTGCATTGTATTTATGGATGAGTCAAGCTTTGGCATCAAATTTAGCTATTAGTGGAGATATATTAAAAAGCAAAGCAACACATTTTGCTGAGAAATTACAAGTAACAAGTTTTGGTGGATCATATGGGTGGTTTAAAGCATGCTATAGCATAAAACAATATAATAAAGCAGGTGAGGCAAATAGTGCACCTTTGGAAACACTAAATGATGAAAGAGTGATTTTACAAGAAGTTATTGGGGGATATGATCTTTGTGATATTGATGAAACTGGTAATTGTATAAATATAGCCAAATTTATTTGAATTGAAATTCTTACTAAAGTATATATAACTTTTTTAAAAATACTTAGCTTTATTTTGGAGTTTAGAGCCATCTAAAACTCTTTCTGATCATTTAATTTCTGGTACTAAAAAATCCAAAAACCGCATCACTATTGCTTTAACATGTAATGCTGATGGTAGTCATAAATTACCCCCATTAGTTATACATAAATACAAAACACCAAGAGTTCTTAAAGGAATCAATAAGGATGATTTGCCAGTTTGGTATTATTGGAACCGAACTGCTTGGATGCAGGCATCAGTATGGTATAATTATCTTGAAAAGGTTAATAAAATGATGAGACAACAAAATCAAAATATTTTATTATTAGCAGATAATGCTCCAACCCATATAATAAATGAAAATTTACCTTTATCAAACATTTCCTTCTTCTGAATACCACATTCCACTTGCAACCTTTGGATGCAGGAATCATTAATAGCTTCAAGGTAAGGAGCAAAAAAAATTTTTGAATGTTTTATTAATTTTCGAAATTTTGAATTTTATTTAACTTACTTTTAATCTTTGGCTCAATATAGAAAGATTTTGGTGGAAAATAGGATAAAAGAATATGAAAATGCAAAAGAAGAAAGTGTAAAGATAAAAGAAGTTGATATTCTTGATGCAATAAATTTTGTAAGTGAAGCATGGACAAATGTAAAATCAAGCATGATTGTAAATTGTTGGAGAAAAACAAAAATCCTACCTAATGCTGAAGAAGCAATAAATTTAAATCAAATTTCTTTCTGGACTACAAAATTCAATTGATGCACTAAACCTGAAAGATCCAATCACTGCAAACTGATTTATTTACATTGATGATGAAACACCAATACAAGAACTAACTGATGAAGAAATTATTAGAGCAGTAGAGCCAAATCCTGAGGTTGATGATTCTGATAAAGAGGAAGAGGTGGAAATGATGGTTATTTCTGATAGAGGCATTAAATA